GGTAGAGCTGCTGCCTCTCAGCGAGCAGGTCCTTGGTTCAAAACCCGTCCAGGGGCCTTTCTGGGTGGAGTTTGCATGTTCTCTTTGTGCATGCGTGGGTTTTGTCCGGGTACTCCGGTTTCCTCCCACAGACCAAAAACATGCATGTTAGGCTGATTGGTAACTCTAAATTGTCCCTAGGTGTGCGTGAGAAAGTGAATGGTTGTTTGTCTTGTTTGTTTCTATGTGGCCCTGTGATGGACTTGTGACCCGTCCAGGGTGTACCCCGCCCCTCGCACAGTGATTGCTGGACATGGGCACCAGCAACCCCCGTGACCCAAAATGGAATAAGCGGGTAAAGAAAATGGATGGATGTATTTATATACATATATATGTATATATATATATTCATTTATTTATTTATTTTTATTTATTTATTTATTTTAATCTGTCCAGAGGACCTGACTTAAATTTGCTAGATTTTTCTACCTGGATTATTGGGCGTACAGCAGGATAAACAAATAATATCCAACATTACTTAAAACGTACTGTAATATTTAGATTTCCTGAGTTTGCCACAGTATTGACAGAAAGCCTCATCATGCCATTGGCATTTGTGATGCCCATAACCTGACCAGGTTCGACCACCACATTTACACCATTTGCTGGACTGTTGTCAGGATTCAGGACTTCAACCTGCCATAAAAGAAAATTACTGTAAAATTAAATAAATTTTAAAAATACATCTGCAATGAGAGGTTAGAGTATTTTTTTACAAAACATTTGAACATACACATTTTTAAAGTATATTTTTGTACGTGTAAAGTTGTACTTTACCATAACATCAAATGACATTCCTGGTTTGAAATATCTGGGTGTTTTTGTAAAGCGGATGCTGTAGGGTGATTTGACGATCTTGATGCCACTCAACTCTGCTTCCACCATTTCACTGCCTGGTTGTCCCACGTGCATAACAATCATGTATACAAATAAGGGTTTAGCACAACTCCTCTAGATCAGCATTAATGTGATCATGTTTTTCCCCCCAATAACGAAATAATTACATATTTCATACATTTAGCAATTTATAGTATTGTTTCTTGGTTATTAACTTTATTCTGTGACCCTCACCTGTTCAGGGCTAAGGTCAGTGGTATTCCTTTTGTATATAAATGATATTTAAACATTAACAAAATGGTGTATGTTATACTGTTTGCAGAAGACACATACGTTTTGTTGTGAAAAATATTTGCATCTTTTTTTTCCACATAATGGGAGATAAGCTGAACAAATTAAAGACTTTCTTTATACAAATAAATAAACATTGAATCTAAAAAGCAGAATTCACAAGAATTGCTTAAAATCAGGGACAATGTTTGAGGTATTGAAATTACTGTAATGCGTTAAAACAAGGTTAAGAATTACCGGTAATGACGATTAGTTGGCAGACAGGCAAACTATCTAAAACATTTTTAATTTTCATCTTGTGGCTCACAACCATGTTTTTTTAGGGATAACATTCCAACCTTTTGATTTCTAGTATTATGACATACTGGATTATATTAGTCAGTGAATTGGTTTTGGTGGAGGATGAGGTATCAGTGTGTTTTTCTTACCACTTTCTGTCAGGACACTGACAGCAACATATATAGATTTCCCCTCCTGTTGGTGGATATTTGGAAATGCATTTGTTATGTGTTCCCTCTTTAGTGTGACCATTCCAGTACCTCCCTGGATCTAATAAAATATAATGCAAGTTTGTTAGTTTTTGGCTATTTCTTTGACTTAAATATGTATTTTGAATTACTGTAATATCAAACCAAGGGTTAACCCATGAGTGACTTGGACAACATGAAAAGTAATTATAAAAACAAATAAAAAGTAAACATAAAGCCAATACTTGGATACATAAACCCCTCCATTGACAGCACTGTATATTTTAGGTATGAATGAGTACCTACTATGACCACTTTGGATAAATCTGAAAAATAACTTTAATCATGGTCAGACAACCCTAAATGTTTGTAGTCCTGCACCTTTGTGACCTCTACTTTTTGTAGCCTCATTGTTCCACCTGCCTCCCTCTCATTCACATAGTTAGTCTGTCTTTGCATTACTGACTTTCATTCGTCTTCTTTCAAGTACATACATGCACCTCCAAGCTATCTCCCACCTGTTCCCTATTCTCAACACAGATCTCAATGTCATCTGCAAACACAGTCCACTGGGATTCTTATCTGACCTTATCTGTTAGTCTGTCCATCACCTGAGCAAGCGAGAAGAGGCTAAGAGTCAATCTTGGTCTTATTGAATGATTTTACTCTTTGTTCTCTTCTTCACCACAACAGTCAACCAACATACCACTATCAGATGCTGTCTGGCCACTGTCTCCCCTGCTACAACCACATATACAGTCTCCAATCGTGTTCAGGTGACCTCTCCAACACAGAATGTAGTCTGCAATCAAACTCTTGCATCCACTCTTATAGGTCACCCTACTGGTTACCTTTTTGGAAGCAGGTACTGACAACAACCATCCACATCCTTTTGGCAATATTCACCGCCATCTGACCTTCCTGGTTCCTTTCCTTGATACCAAACCTTCTCATCACTTCCTCGACTCTTCTGTTATCTTTACCAACATGTCCAGTCATCAGGTCTACTCCAATCACCATTCTCTCTTTTCTGGGAACTATCCTTTCATCTTGATCCCTCCAGAATTTCTCTTTTTCCTCTCCTTCATATCCAGCCTGTGAAATGCAACTACTGACAACTTTCATCATCAGACCATCTCTCTACCTTTAGACACACTACCCAATCTGACATCCTCCTTCAGGAACACTCTTAATCCATTTCCTTTCACACCATGGTAAACCAGCTTAAAGCCTGCCTGTATGCTGCAAGCCTGGCTGCCCGTCCACTTGGTCTCTTGCACACAGAATACATTTATCTACCTTTCCTTCTCTGCATCATGTCAGCCAGCTCTCTACATTTGCCTGTCATTGTCCCTAAGCTTATAGTTGCTAGCCTTAGTCCTACACTCTTGACTTTTCTCTTCTCCGTCTATCTCCTGGCACTCTTTGACTAACAACAGCACAATTTCTATGCACAATCTTTAGAGCCTGTTTGTCAAACACTGGTGGTGGTCATTGGCCATGACTGAAGTGGTATGGTGTCATTTGGACCAATTCATGTTTGTTTTGTCAAAAGTGCTTTATGGCAAATGCTTTTCTTGATGCAACTTCAACTACATGTATTTACCTGGGCTTGAGACTTCACTAAAGATACAAAATAGTGGCAGTTTATTTTGAATTGTTTTATATAGTGTTTAATTTAATTTAATTTATCAATCAAGTTTAAAGTTAAAGTTAAAAAGTTAAAAAAGGGAGACAAGTGTCCAATTTTCCAAGTTTTGTTTGCAGAAGAAAGATAAAATGCAAAACTCAGAAAGAATCAAGAAATCAGTTTACAGATTACTCTATTACATCATGAGTAGTACTGTATGTGCTCACCGGGACTCTCTGAAGAGAACTTGTAAAACTAATTTTAGTATCCCCTTGCATGAGTCCAAACACGACGTAAGCTGTGCCATCCACCTCCTTACCAAATATATACCTGGAACAACACGAGAATTATACATTATTCACAAATAAAAACCAAGCAATTAATTTTCTGCATTCACATACGTTGCTTTGATGGTGAAATTAAGTTCCTTTCCGTCTATGTAGAAGAAGGGGCTATCAGATGGAGGTGATATTTTTACTTCAAAACTGGGAAGAACTGTGAAACAAAGTACATTATGGCTGTCTTATAAAGTTAACTTTGTGTTTCTTTGGTTTTAAACAATTCATGGAGACTCACCATATTCTTTGACCTCAAACTCTGCAGTAAAGCTTTCTTCAAGGTTGCTATGGAATTTTGCTAAAATTTTCCATTGTCCAAAACTAAAATAAACATATTTTATTTAAAATCACAGGCTGCGATAAAAGTCACTATAATATAAACTTTACAGACATTTTATTACACTGGTTAATACCTTACCTGACAATGTCTGTAAGTTGGTAATCATCTGAGTATATTCTTGATGTCAAGTCAGCTGAGACAGTTTTCGACTTTACTATGAAGCCAGCAGGGTTCTATATATGAAAAATGTTTAATAAAATGTGCTGTTTCAGAAAAGTTGAACAAGCATTTTTGTTTCTTGGTGTAAAACTTTCTTTTTTCTATCAGCTGATAATGTAATTAGTGTGATTTACATTTGTCCATTGTTGTCTTGACAGACAATGCAACACTTGTTTCACATGTTGCGTGTCAATTTTTGCAAACTTAAGTAAAAAATTACATTTTATTCACTTTGCGAAGTGAAAATTTTAGAAATTAACTTAGCAATTAAAATGTTTTAGAACATGTTTAAAGCAAGTGCTCCTTCAGTCTTGAATTCTTAATAAATACTGATAAATATTTATAAAATATCTATTACAATACCATAACTTCAACGGTAATTGAAGTATCTGCTTGAGACTGAATGTGTTTTTCTAGCGGCTCCATGCCAGGTGTCATGGGGAAAATCCGGAAATGAACTGTTGGCGAGATGGAAAGGGAAAAGTGGGCTCTATGACATATTTCAAGACAACTTTCAACCTTTTTCTGTGCAGCATATTGGTAAACCATACCATACCACTTTATTTATAAAGCACTTAAAACAGCAACAAGGCCAACCAAAGTGCTGTACAGACAAAACAACAGGTAACACACAAAGCAAAATACAAAATGAGGTAAATCAGAATATAGACATAAAAACGATGCAGATAGTGACGACTAACCAGTGTGGAGCATACAGGATCAAAACACAAATCACCTGGTGTTGAAAGCTATTGAATAGTAGTGAGTTTTTAAATGGGACTTGAAAACCGAGAGGGAGGGGGCCTGTCTGACAAGCAGCGGTAACTCGTTCCAGAGTCTTGGTCCTGCTACAGAGAAGGCCCTGTCATCTCTGCGCTTAAGACGAGTTCCTGGAACTGTGAGGAGCAACTGGTCCACTGACTTCAGGGAGCGTGGTGGGACATACGGTTGTAGCAGATCAGAGAGATAGGGGGGAGCAACACTGTTTAGTGATTTGTAGACATACAGGTACATGAGTATTGTGAACTGGATTCGAAAGTGAACTGGTAACCAGTGCAGTGCGGCCAAAACTGGTGTAATGTGCTCTCTTTTGCCTGTACTGGTTAAAAATGGGGCTGCTGCATTCTGGACCAGTTGTAGTCGTACAATGGAGGTCTGATTGATACCAAACAGGAGTGAATTGCAGTAATCAAGCCTAGATGTAATGAATGCATGTATTAATGTCTCCAGGTTGTTTTTGGACAATAAACATCACACAAACAACAGCCATTTTTTGGGCAAGCATACAGCAAAATAAATAAATAAAATTGAATAAGAAGAGAAAGACGTAGAGAAAAGTTTGGGGTCGGAAAAAGAATTAAATAATAATCTTTGGACAAATTGGACTTGCCTTTGCTGTTAGGGGTATAGATGGGCTTGTCGGTCTGAATAAAAATGTAGCCAGATTGGAAGGAAACTAACACAACTTTCTCAAGAGTTGTCCCATGAATGTTTGCTTGGAGGGTTACATACTGCTTGACTTTGGGATCCTTGCTGAAATCTCCAGTAGGGATCTGGGAAAGCAAACAAAAACCACACAACAACACAACTTATTATATTATGAAATGCATTATAATTTTAATACCGTTAAGAAAAAGCAGAGATTAAATTCCAAACAAAAAGAGAGAAACAGGCCAAATCATGCAAAATAAAGCAGACATGCATACGCAACATAGTGCAAAGACAACAAAAAGTGAACTCATATGCCAAAAGCTAAATAGATCGGAAGCCTGTACTTTTTTGTTGGGATGAAAAATATATATATATATTCAATACCTGTGCAATGTTTCCATCAAGTCAAGAGATCATTACATCATATTTGTTGTCCAACAAATTCTAGTTTAGATTTTGGACTGAGATACGATTATTGTGGTTAATTAGACGTTAGTTAGATGAGTGACCACATAAGTGAGAGTTTCAGAATAATTAAAGCAAAGGTATTTGACTGACATGACTCAAAAATCATCTGACAGCACAAATAGATAATGCTACTAAAAGCAGGTAGCTAGAAACAATATAACAAACTGTGTTAAAAGACAACAGTGCTTTACCGTTATTCTTCCAAACTCTTGAAACTTATTGGCTTTCTTAAGTATCACAGCTGTGGATGCCAGAGTTCTGGTTTTTGTTGGATGGTTCTTTACAAATATTTGCACGCTAAGGTCATTATCTTCCTGATAGTTTTGAATCTCTACAAAAATGGTTTCTTCTGTTCCAACTCTTAGCAAGTTAGGGGCAGACATCACCATCCTGCAGAAAGAGGAAACAGACAACATTTTGTTTGAAACAGCAGAGATGGTGTATGAGAATTCAATTACTCATATGCCATGAGTTTGTGTGTGTGTCAGAGTCAGATTTATTTGTCATTCGCATCTCATGTGGTACATGTGGTGGAATGAGATTATGTATGCGGGGTTCCAGTTACACCCAACAATAAAATGTAAAAGAAAAACAGTAATAAAATCTAAGATATGAACTAAGAAAAACATCAGCTCAATAATACACTATACCATACCATACCACTTTATTTATAGAGCACTTAAAACAGCAACAAAGCCAACCAAAGTGCTGTACAGACAAAACAACAGACAACACAAAAAGCAAAATACAAAATGAAGTAAATCAGAATATAGACATAAAAACAATGCAGATAATGACGACAAACCAGTGTGGAGCATACAGGATCAAAACACAGATCATCTGGTGTTGGAAGCCACCGAATAGTAGTGGGTTTTTAAACGGGACTTGAAAACCGAGAGGGAGGGGGCCTGTCTGACAAGCAGCGGTAACTCGTTCCAAAGTCTTGGTCCTGCTACAGAGACGGCCTTGTCACCTCTGCGCTTAAGACGAGATCCTGGAACTGTGAGGAGCAACTGGTCCGCTGACCTCAGGGAACGCGGTGGGACATACAACCGTATGTTTGGCACCACATGCCAAACACTAAGCACTAATAGCATAAAAACATTATGTCGAACAGCAGTGTTTGTGTGTGTATGTGTGTGTGTGTGTGTGCACTTTTGTTTCAGGTTACCTTGTAGAGACCAATTTTACAAAAAAATCATGCATTGTGGGAACCAACTGCTCTTTATGGGGACCAAAGCCAGGTCCCCATAAGGAGAAGTCTTGTTGGGGGGTTAGGTTTAGGACTAAGGTGTGAATTGTGGATGTGTTAGGCATGTACTAGTAATGGTTAGGTTTAGGGTAAGGGTTAGGGTTAAGCTATGGAAAATTAATGGAAGTCATTGCAAAGTCTCAAAAAGTATGTTTACAAAAATATGCGTGTGTGTGTGTTTGTGTGTGTGTGTGTGTGTGTGTGTGTGTGTGTGTGTGTGACATGATGCTGAGAAGAAAGGTAGATGTTTTTATTTGTCCAAGAGACCAAGTGGAAGGGCAGCAAGGCTTGCTGCATTAGAGTAGGGTTTAAACAGTTTTACCAGTGTAAATAGAAAGTGCAGTGGAGTAGGGGTGGTCCTGAAGGAGGAGTTGGCAAAGAATGTAGTAAGAGGTGAAAAGAGTGTCAGATAGGGTGATGCATCTGAAGGTAGAAGTAGAAGTTCTGATGCTAAATGTTGTATGTGGTTATGTCCCACAGGTTGGATGTAACATAGAGGAGAAAGAGAATTTTTGGAAGAATCTGGATGAAGTAATAGAGTATACCCAGGGAGGAGAAAGTGGTGATTGGAGCAGACCTGAATAGCCATATTGGTGAAGGAAACAGAGAAGGTGAGGAAGTGATGAGTAGGTTTGGTGTAAAGGATAGAAACCAGGAAAGACAGATGGTGAAGAATGCCAAATGGCTGTAGTCAAACACTTATTTCCAAAAGAGGGTGGAACATACAGTAATCACTTAAAAGAGTGGAGGAAAGAGTATGCAGGTAAACTACACTCTGTGTCAAAGAGGAAACCTAAAGAAGATTGGGGACTGTAGGGTTGTAGCAAGGAAAAGCATGGCCATACAGCATCAGATGGTTGTGTGCAGAATGAATGTTGTTGTGAAGAAGATTTTTTTCTTCTTCTTTTGGCTGCTCCCTTCTTCAGGGGTCACCACAGCGAACTGAGTCACATGAAGACTTGGCAATTGTTTTTATGCCGGATGCCCTTCCTGATGCAACCACAGACCATCGAGCTACCACAGCCCTCTGTGTGGAGAAGAGAGCTGCTATCTAGGGTGCCCAGGGGAGCAGATTGTGAGGATTAAGGGTTTTGCTCAAGGGCAGAGTGGGGCAAATGAGGGTGGAGACAGGTGTGGGTGCTTCACCAATCCCACCCACATTTTAATGTTGTTGTGAAGAAGAGAAAAAGGGTATAATCAAAGAAAAAGACCAAATTGTGGAAGCAGAGGAAAGAAGAATTTTGTGAGGAGTTCAGAGAGGAACTGTTAAAGGCTCTGGATGGTAAAATAAATAAATAAATAAATAAATAAATAAATAAAACCTTCCAGATGAGTAGGTTACTACAGCAGCAGTAATACTTGGTGTGTCATCAGGACAGAGAAAATATAAGAAAACCTGGTGGTGGAATAGTGAAGTGCAGGAAGTTTTTCAAAAAAAGAGGTTAGCCAAGATGAAATACGATCTTAAAAGTACTGAAGAGAGAAGACAGGAATATAAGGAGATATAGTACAACACAGAGCAAGAGGGAAGCAGCAAAGACATATCAGAAGGCCTATGATGAGTTAAATGGGAGGCCAGACACTAAAGAGGGTGAGAAGAACTTGTACCAATTGATGAGACAGAGGGATCAGGCTGGAAAGTATGTGCAGCTGGTTAGGCTTGTTAAAGATAAGAATGGTAATGTTCTAACAAGTGAGGAGAGTGTGATGGGAAGATGGAAGGAGTGTTTGGGGGAGCTAATGAATGAAGAGACTTGAAGGGAAAGAAGAGTAGATGTCTTAGAAACTGTGAACCAGGTAGTGGGAAAGATTAGTGAGGATAAAGTCCAGAAAGCTCTGAAAAGAATGAAGAAGGGGAAGGCAGTAGGACCTGATGACATACCAGTGGAGGTTTGGAAATGTTTTGGAGAGATTGCAGTGAGATTTTTGACTCAAATAGTTAATGGCATATTTGAGGGTGAGAAAATGTCTAAGGAATGGAAAATAAGTGTGCTGGTGCCCATTTTTAAGAACAAGGGTGATGTACAGAGTTGTAGCAACTACAGGGAAATTAAGTTGATGGATCTGGGAGAGAGTTGTGGAAGCTAGACTTAGACGAGAGGTGACTGTGAGCAGCAGTATGGTTTCATGCCAAGAAAGAGCTCCACAGATGCCAACTTTGCTTTGAGCATGCTGATGGAGAAGTACAGAGAGGGTCAGAAAGAATGTCATTGCATCTTTTTAGATTTAGAAAAAGCATATGACAGAGTGCCAAAGGGGGAGGTGTGGTATTGCATGAGGAAATCTGGAGTGGCAGAGAAGTATGTTAGACTGGTACAGGACATGTATGAGGACAGTGGTGAGATGTGCTGTAGGAGTGACAGATACTTTCAAGGTGGAGGTGGGAGTGCATCAAGGATTGATCCTGAGCCCCTTCTTGTTTACTCTGGTAATAGACTGACTAACAGTTGAGTTCAGGCAGGAATCCCAGTGGACTTTGATGTTTGCAGATGACGTGATCTGTGGTGAGACCAGGGAACAGGTGGAAGAGAACTTGGAGAGGTGGAGGTATGCACTTGAAAGAAGAGGAATAAAAGTCAGTCGTAGTAAGACAGAGTACATGTGTGTGAATGAGAGGGGGACAGGTGGATCAGTGAGGCTACAAGGAGCAGAGGTCACAAAGGTTCAGGACTTCAAGTACTTGGGGTTCACTGTCCAGAAAAAAATTGACGTGTGCCAGTAAAGAGGTGAAAAAAGAGAGTCCAGGTAGGATGGTGGATGGAGAAAAACATGTGTAACATGTGATTCTTGACCTGTCATTGTGTATCTGTTCCTATTAAACCCTGCCGGTCGAAGCAGATGTCCGCTTGTCCTGATCCTGGTTCTGCTAAAAGTTTCTTCCTCATGAGGGAGTTTTTACTTTTCACTGTTGCTTTCGTGCTTGCTCAAGATGAGAGTTCTGCGATGGAGTTAAATTCAAAGCAGTCTGCTCCTCAAATATATGGTGTTATTATTAATTTAATTTATGCAGTTATAGAGGACATAGAGGTCGTTGGAGTGAGAACAAAGGATGCAGAGGACAGAGTGAGGTGGAGGAGGATGATTTGCTGTGGTGATCCCTGAAGAGGGCAAAGCCAAAAGAAGAAGAAAAATAACTTTTATTTCATGGAATCAAATCCAAATTATCAGGAAGTGTAATGCACATTAAGCATATAATTTACTGTATCTTTGTATATTTTTTGGGAGAAATTTCTGCTTCAAGTTTTGAGCACATTTTATGCGTGAGTCACCGTCATTGAAATTTAAACATGACATTGACCCAAGAAGGGGACTAGCATTCCCACAGGCTTCAGTTCAAGTTTTAAGTCCTGCTCCAAGTAAGCAAATGGGAATTTGCCCTAATTAAAAATATAAAATAGATATTTTATTCAGGTGTTGAGTTTTGTTGATTGGCATAGATCCTACTTTCCTACAGTATGTTCAAATATTTTTTTCCCCAACATGCTTAGCTTTAATTTGTGACACTTGTGTGTGGGAGAGTAGAGGGGACCTAAAGCCGCACATCCCTGGTACACAGGCTCTGATGACAAAAACACAACAAGGTTGTACCCATGTGGTTCATTGAACAACAATGAAAATTAGTAGGGACACAGTATAGTATGCTTACAGTCAATGAGCATAACTATTGACGTACATATATTTCTAATTAAACATGCAAATCTTTGCAGACGTAGTTTCTTAAGTAGTATGAGTGTCCCCGAAAGCTAACTGGTAGAAAAGTTTAAGCTGACATGAATAGGACAATCTGATTAAAAATAGCGTTACATTTAATTAATTTCAGGTATTCATTTTAGTTGATTCACCTATACCTTGTCTTGCTGCTGAATGTTCAAGCATTGTTTTAAAAAATATATGTTTAGTTGTAATTAGTTATTTGATGCCTAAAAATCATGAATAAGTGTAGGGGAGAATGTAGGACTTACTGCCCCCACATCCCAAAGGTGCAAATTCTGGCTCCAAAAACAGACCAAGGCACAACCATACACCGGATAGTGCCGGCTTTCCTATTGAACATATGTGTAACCAGCCACTCACATAAAACTAATTTAAACATAGCAGTTAGTTCAAAATGCTAACACACTTTGCTGGCCTAGGTACTTTTAAATAAAAGTAGACAAAATCACATCTTCATTTGGAGTTGGTTGGATGTGTGGACATGTCTATTTTTTCCGAAGAACTTAAAAATATAGAAGTAACGATTAACTCATTTTGCATCTTTGAATAATTTGCTTAGGTAGTGTCGTGGAAAAGAGATTCCCAAAACAATCAGGCGTAGGCTTCTTCATATTTATTTACAAAGCATTGGAGAGCAGCCAGTGATAGCAAGATCAATGCATTTACAAGTACACACTTATCAATGCCGTCACCTGTCTGAGGCTCTGACCTTTTATGAGCTTCCTGTAGTAAGTTATTAGTTTATAGAATCCCCCAGGTGCCAGTCTCCCCCCTCCCCCCCACCTTTGCTCTGTCGAACTGTTATCAAAACCCCAGCTGCATGCGACTGAAATATAATTTTATCAGATAATATATTAACTTAATGAAATGTCTAGATATATGTATCCTGTTTTGTTATTTAGAATGATATTGTGTTAAAACACGATCTGATTCCGTTTCCGGTAGGAATTGTAGTTTTAGTTACATGCCTACAACTCCCAACATTCACGCACCCTTTTATTATAGAACACAAGATGGCGAGATATTATTGGTTGAGAGCTGGGTCACATGAGAGTAGGGCTTCCCATTCGTCGATGGTGGTGACTCCTCCTGAGAGGTGTGGCCGAGCTCTGAAGAAGTTGGGTTTTCTGTTTACGCTCGGCGCCATCGTTTTGTGACTGCATGGTGGAGTTACAATGGCCCAGGGCTGGTGATCTTGTACTTTACATGTGGGTAAAATAAACCTTCTGAAAATGGAAGGCAAGTGCTCCTCCTCTCCCTGCTTCAGAGCAGAACACAATCTTACACGACTGCTGGTGGAGTCGAACCCCCAACTCTTGCATTGGAGGACAACTGCTCTCTAACCACTCATCCACAGCTACCACCTCTCTTTACTGACCAGTCACATCAAGACTGATTATATTATAGAGAAAAGGATGATGGAACATTTTGATATCATTCACAATAAGTAAAGGAGCAGAAAAAGTTATAAAGTCTATTTTAATCAAGTAAAACTATGGAGCATAGTGAGTATAAAAATACGCATTGCCTCGACAGTAGTCCGTCTCACACACTTCACACAACTTCCTTATAATCTATAGTAAAGGAGGTAGTCAGGCAATGTTACAGCATTTTACAGTGCTCACTAATTGTAATTAGATGACTAACATGGGCAGACTAAACAAATGAATTAGTGTGATTTTAGAACATTAATAATGTTGCTAAGAAAATGAAGAATGAATAAAATAAAACATATCTAAAAAAGTTAAGTCTGGTCCTCAGACCTTAAGTCTGGTCCTCAGACTGAAGAAGTATTTCGGATGAAAGACGGAACGTTTCTACATTTTTTATTTATTTTTTGCTTTGTTTTGTTTTTTTGAACGTCCAGAGGACCAGACTTCAATTTTTTTTAATTTTTCTACCTGGATTATCAGAGTCAGAGTCAGAGTTTCTTCATTGTCATTCGCACCTCATGTGGTACATGCGGTGGAGCGAAACCATGTACACAGGGTCCCAGTTACATCCAACAACAAAATGCACAAGAAAAACAGCAATAACATCCAAGACATGAACCAAGAAAAATATCAACCAAATATACACCAAGCACCCATAACACAAAAATATTGAACATCAGCACAAACATGAACATGAGTCCGCGAGCAGATGTGCACGCATGAACACATCAATATTGAAAAAGATCAGCAGCAACATGAAACAGATCAGCAGCAACATGATATGGTTTTTCACAGAGATTATTCTAGTTAGAGATTCATGAGTCTAACAGCCTCAGGGTAGAAGCTGTTCCTCAGTCTAGTGGTTCTACACTTAATGCTCCTCAACCTCCTTCCTGAGGGGAGTGAGCATGTATCAGGAAAATAAAACATAGTTGGCTTTCAGACAAGAGGAAGGCCTGTGGAGTTCAATATTTATCCAGACAGTAATGGGTCATTTATTATTGGCATTGACCATCAGCCAGAAATGGGTCAATAAAACATCTCAGGTCTGTTTGAGGTTTGTGGTGAAAGGCACTGTTGAGCAAAGTCACAATGAAATATACATACGCTATTTTTATTTATTTATTTATTTATTTATTTATTTATTTATTTATTTATTTATTTATTTAGTTATGTGTACATTTTAGGTTCCCTTACACAAAAGGCAAAATTTGTCAATATTTACCAGTAGTCTATAATATTGTGCGCTCAACTCTTAAACAAAAAATGTTGATTGTTGCTGATGTCAGTGTGTTGCTAATTAGAAATTTACACAGATAAAAGCAGATGTTAAAAAGTACACGTACTAGAACTGACTTAAAGTGTTAAATTTAAACGCTGTAGAACAATATATATTTTTTAAAATTTCTGGTAATCTTGTCTTTCAGTTGGTTTGGCCAAGCCACCTGATGGTATGCAGAAATATGAAAATATTTGGCTATTAATGTTTGTTTTAACAGAAAATGCTAAAATATTTTAAAGGTAAAGGAAATATCCACAAGCTAACTTTTAAATGCGTCATTATCATGCTGTAGAACTACCATAATATTTAATGTTGCACATTTTTATTATGTAATAGTACGTGTTTCATTAAATGGTATTGAAAGTGAGGCAATATTAGTGTGTTTATATTATAAAGCAAATTTGTGACTGGTATGTAGTTTGTTATTAATGCTTTATATGAAAGACATATCATTATTAATATCTAACGTGACCACACGTAAATAACGATGCATCAAGGAGAAATGTGTAAAGGTCAGGGAGATCTACTTACAGTGGTGATCCAGCACTTGGGCAAATCTGAAAGAAAAATGTCAGCGTGGCCGTGAGCCACAGCTGAAGCCAACACACTCTTCCACCTGATCCCATCTTTGCTTTAAGTGCTTACTCTCAGACCAGGACTCTTATTTTCCTCAACAGGCAGTGGGTTGTACCTCTTCTTCCACCTCCCCCATTTAAAAGTGCGTCAGAATGTTTAAATAGTTTTGCTTATTTTCAATTATGCAATGAAATTTTTTTTTTTCAACACCATACATCAACTGCAAAATGAGTAGGCTGAAGTCATAGCCTATTTACTTACAGACTCCATAAATAATTTCACTAATCTTAGACGATTTACAATCTTAACCCCTTTACATTATCCAATAATTTGGATTTTAAATATTTTTTAAACTGAAATACTGATTTTCTTAGTTTTCATCTCTCCACTAAAACCATCCAAGATGTTGACTCCAAGAACTCAAACACGTCTATAATCCAGATGGGTTCTACGTGGACTAATTTCAAATAAATAAATAAAAAAGCAACCCTCTTAAATTGTATTAGTCTTTTTTAAAGACTTGTTCACAACCTGAAAAATAATTTTCATTGTTATAGATACACAACAAATGTAAAATTTTAAGATTTAGAGCATATAAAACATTATTTTTATGTCCATACAAAGATTTATGGATTATTGTAACAGCTCTATTTAAGTTTAATGATATGGTTTATATTTATTTTATATTAATTTCTCCTTCCTTCAACCCTTTATAGCATTTATGGCATTACAGGTGAGTTGTACCATTCAATATAAGCATTTCAGTTCCAATAATTCTCTTATGCAGTACAAAATTCCAAAAGACTTAGGTAACTTTCTTTTGATATTCACTATATGTGGTTTTGAATAGAGTTTAGGATTTATAACCACAACTAATACTTTTAAATCCAGATTTAAACAAACAAAAAAATTGGGTTCCAGTAAAACATGAAATGTTATTTGCGTCTCGTTTCTCTGTTGCACATCTGAGCAAACACAAAGCAAAGTGTGCCATAATTTACCGGCATTTGAGGGACCAAAGTACTTTGGCAGACTGATAAAAGTTATTTACACTAAAAAGTACTAGGACATTGATAACGTTTAGTTGAGCTTAATCAATCACAGTAGTCCCTCACTACTTTGTGGTTTGACTTTCATGGACTCGCTTTTTTGCGGTTTTTCAAAGTAAGATTGGACATGACACATAATTGGCTGATTGATGAATAAGCCGCAAGATCGGCATGCATTTTTAAATTTAAAATAAATCATTTAAAATTATTTAGCACCTACTGCACCTGTGTGCAGCCCACAGGTGCAGGGAGAAGCTCCCTCCTGTAGCATGATCTCCGCTTTGCAGCAGAGAAGTGAGTGTGGCAGAGAGAGCTGTGCTCTTTTAGAACGCTTAGAGTTTAGAAACATTGTTTGAATTCAATTCAGTTCAATTCAGTTTATTTATATAGCAAGTCACAACAGAAATCATCTCAGGGCACTGAACAGAAAAATTCATAAATAAAAATAACAAGTTAACATATTAATCTGAGGAGCAGACTGCTTTGAATTTAACTTCATCACAGACTCTCATCTTGAGCAAGAATGAAGGCAACAGTGGAAAGGAAAAACTCGATCATGATGAAAAATCCTTTAGCAGAACCAGGTTCAGGACAAGCAGCCATCTACTTCGACCGGCTGGGTTTGGTAGGAACATATACACAATGGCAGGTCAAGAATCACATGTTAATATAGAAGTAGTATCAAATGAAAACTATTCAAGTTTAACAATCCATTCATCCATTTTCTTGACCGGCTTCTTCCATTTTGTCATGGGGGTCGCTGGTCTCCATGTCCAGCAATCACTGTGTGAGAGGCTAGGAAGGAGAAACAAACAAACACAGAATGGCAGGTCCAAGTGTACCCCCTATTGGAAGAAAGACAAAAAACCCCACAAAAATAATTACAAATACCAACAGGTAGAGTAGAGCAAGTATAGACAGCAGTTGAGTGAGGAAATGTGGTCAGTTTTGCTTCCAGCAGTCTAAGTTTATAGCAGCTTAACTAAGGGATATCTCAGGAAACCCAATCCAACCCTAACCATAGGATTTATCTAAAAGGTGAGACTTAAGCCAAATCTTAAAATTAGACAAGGTGTCAGTATCACGGACAGAAACTGGAAGATGGTTTCCCAAGAGAGGGGCCTGATAACTGAAAGCTCTGCCTCCCGCTCTATGTTTGTAAACTCTAGGAACCACAAGTAAGGAAGACATATCATTCAGTGACGTTCCTGACCACAGGCCCAGGGTCTGGGTCATCACTGCCGAAAAAGGACAGGATGACAAAGTCATCAGCAAACTTAAAACTGTGACGCTGTGGGTACAGGCTGCAATAATCTGTCATAATCAATGCTTTAGTGTTGAACCCAATGGTACAGGCAGACCACGGAGACTCAGGGAATATAATAATAAAAATTTATTATCAAAACAAAGAGGCTGGCGAGGCAGCAAAACTTACAGTCATGGATGACATGAGGGCACACAGGGACCAGGAGCTGACAGGACAATGACCAGACAATGAGTTACCTCTGCTCGTTAGACAGGCCCCCTCCCTCACAGTTTTTAAATCTCGCTTAAAAACACACTTTTATTCCCTGGCTTTCAGCACTGTGTGATCTGTGCTGAGTCTGTGTGCATCACACTGTGTTGGTCATGTTGCAGTTGTTGTTGTTATCCATTACTGTTTTTGTTGGTTTCTACATTTTTGGTGTCCTGTTATGTAATCTGTTGCTATGTGCTTGTTCTGTTTGTCCCTGTACAGCACTTTGGTGTGCTTTGTCACTGTTTAAAGTGCTATATAAATAAATTGGTATGGTATGGTATGGTAGACAATGAGAAACACTCAGATGGAGACTTAAATACAAAAACGTTGACGAGACTAAATGCAGACAACTGCGACTCATCACAGGTGTCAAAGACAGGGAGTTATTACAAGAAGGAGCAGGATCACAGACACACCACAAGAAGGCACACTCCTCACACAGTCATCCATCTATCCATTCATTATCTTTTACCCGCTTCTTCCATTTTGGGTCACGGGGCTCGCCGGTGCCCATGTCCAGCAATCACTGTGCGAGGGGCGGGGTACACCCTGGACAGGTCGCAAGTCCATCGCAGGGCTACATAGAGACAAACAAGACAAACAACCATTCAGTCTCTCACTCACACCTAGGGACAATTTAGAGTTACCAATCAGCCTAACATGCATGTTTTTGGTCTGTGGGAGGAAACCAGAGTACCCGGAGAAAACTCATGCATGCACGGAGAGAACAGGCAAACTCCACCCAGAAAGGACCCCTGACTGGGATTTGAACCAGGGACCTGCTCGCTGAGAGGCAGCAGCTCTACCAGTTGCGCCACCGTGCTGCCCTCAAATTAACCACTGAACTGCTATCCAAAAAAGTTCAATCTGGTCCTCTGGACATTAAAAAAAAAAAAAAAAAAAAACAAAGCAAAAAAATCTAGAAACGTTTCGTCTTTCATCCGAGAGACTTCCTCAGTCTGAGGTGCTGTTTTCAGCTCAGTCTCTTAAATAGCACCGTCTCAGAGTGGATCAACCAGTTTGCTGCTGACAACCAAAACCAGCTGCTCACATGCTCAAGAAGGACCATCAGCCTAACAATGGATAATTAGCACACTGATGGCTGTTTACTATTCACAGGGGGTTGAGTGATACTAGCAATAACAGCATTGTACGAGGTGGACAGTTGAACCCGGAGGCCTCCACCCCTGTTTAATGATGGACGATTTATTTTTACAAAGATGGCCTCCTTTACTCCTCTCTCAAACCATAGTTCCTCTCTATCCAGGATGTGAACATCTTCATCCCTGAAAGAGTGACCGCTGGCCTGGAGATGAGTGTAGACCGCAGAATCCTGGCCTGATGATGTTGATCTTCTGTGCTGGTCCATCCTTTTGGCCAGTGGCTGTTTTGTTTCCCCGATGTAAGACTGATCCAGAGGACCAGATTGAACTTTTTTGGATTTTTCTAGATTATTGAGTATACATCAGGATATGTGTGCTGTTTTGCTCAGTATTAATATTGTTTTGCTAGTTGTATATTTGGACGGCATGGTGGCGTAGTTGATAGAGTCGCCACCTCTTATTGAGAAGGTTGCCGGATCGATTCCCGGCAGAGGACCTTTCTCGGTGGAATTTATATGTTCTCTCCGTTCATGCGTGGGGTTTCTCCGGTTACTCCTGTTTCATCACACAAATCAAAAACATGCATGCTAGACTGATTGGTAACTCTAAATTGTGTGTAAGTGAAAGAGTGAATGTTTGTTTGTCTCTATGTGTCCCGATGGACTGGAGACCTGTCCAGGGTGTACCCCGCCCTTTGCACAGTGACCATTAGATATGGGCACCGGTGTCACCCATGACCTTATAAAAGGAAGAAGTGCTATGTGTTGTCATGATTGTATGTTCTCATACAATGACGAAATTAGTTCTATGCATTAAACCCATCACGTGTGATACACCCAGGTGGTGCAGTGGGCAGCTATGTGGGCTGCCCAGGAAGCAATTAGGGATTGGGTGACTTGCTCAAGCACACCACGACATGTAAGCATGGCGGGGAGTTGAGCTTGTGGCTTTTTGGTCCCAAGTTGGCTGCCCTACCACTACACCATCTTGGCCCCACATTTTACCCACCCCAAGAAGCAGGATAATGGGTGGATGGATGGCTGGATAGTCGTATATTTACTTTTGATCTGTTCAGTAATTTTGTCAACCAACACTCCTTAAAATGCATTAAAAACAAGTTATGTTTCTATTTCTTAGTTTTTCTCTATTGCCTCTGCATTTTTAGATTTTTCCAACTCCTGTACTAAAAAAAAACTGAATGTATTTATATTTTTTCAAAACTAAAAGATAAATTTTAAACAGATGGTATTAAAGAAACAAAAAAATGTGTTCAAAGCATGCCGTATATGGATGCAGCCTCACGTACACAAAAGTTAAGTGAGATAAAGTAACATTACATTCCAGTTAGCACTGTTTTATTCTATTTCTTCAATATTTTTATACTTTGTATGATAACAGCCAATGTTGTACAAATATGATTCAGTTTTGAAAAAAATCATCCCAGACATGCAAAGTTAAGGAAGTTGTCAACCATGTCCTCCATGCCCAAACATGTGGGTCGGTATTGAGCGTCCTGACACTCTCCGGATGTTGGCCAGTACTCAACCCAGGTTCTCTCCCCGAGCACGTACTGAAACCTGAGAGAAACGACAGAAATACATTAAAAGGTGATGTGACAAGTTTTCTGTAACATGCCAGAAGTACAGAACAGAGACAGACCTGACATTATTTAACATAAAATACCAATGGAACAAACTAAAATAAAGTTTTGTACAAACTATTAACTTACGTGTTATGTTTGTCATCTATGTGAGTATCTTTGGATGAGCCCATAATAAGGTACGTTTTCCCCTTTCTTAGATTTAAAGCTTTTCTGCAGTGCTGATAACTCAGGAATGTGCGCAATTTACCAGTAGAACCGACATCAATATTTCCTGTAAATGAAATGTAAATGAACGGTGAGGACATAATGACTTTTGATGCTTTAAATGCGGATTATGCACCTTTGCAAAACAACAGTCAATAAAATACAAATAATTTGTCACTGCTAAAGTGCAGTGCAGAAGATAATTAAAAGCTGAGAAATGTGTTCAGTTTAGCTGCACGTCCAGGATCAGCACCCACCGTGTTTGATGACCTCAACTATCCGCATGATGTAAGAGTCTGTAGACAATCCAAATTCAATGCCTTCCACCATAACTTTGTAGGCTGTAGGCAGACAGCGAGTATCTGAGCTCAGAACTTATTCTTAATCACAGTTCGTATTAGTCAGAAATGCAGCACTCTTGTGGTTTCTTACCGTATTCAATTTTACTGATCTCTGTGCTTTCACAAATCTTAGCTGTCCGCTCATCATTGTTAATGTTGCTGCTCTTCTGCATACTGCAGTTCTCTGAAATAAAAATCATGAAATGATACAATGTGTCAGTCAGCTGCTGACAGATAAAAGTTTATAAGTAAATGATTTAAAAAACTATTTGGCAACGGTTCAAAGCAAACAGTTCAGTCACAGCTGCTTATTTAAATCAAATGCACATATTAATCTGGAGCAGAAAAATTAATCTATGAAAATAAAAATAATCACACACACACAACATAATATATAATGGTATTTGTGGTGTGTTAATGTGATTTTTTTTGCCCGTTGTATGTGTTGTATCAAGTTCTTGTTTGAGTTGTACACCAAACTAAATTCCAAGATGTGGAAAGTAAAGTAAACAGTAAAGTACTGACTTGACTTCAGTTTATTACAAGTATTATCAATGTGTCTCAGAGCCAAGTAAAACTACAAAATTTCCTGGTAGTTTGCAAAAAAAAAAAAAAAAGTTGCAATTTTTTTTTTCATCCTCCTATTTTATTGTAAATATGTTAGACTTATGAAATGGACTTGTGTCTAGGTTAGATTGCATTTAATATTTTTGAGTTTGAATTTTTTTTTATTATGTTTTGCTACTATACTAGTATGCTTACCTTCTGCACACCTGCATTCATAATCTTTACAGAGCTGCAGCATCTGTCCATCCGCCCTCTCTGGATGGTAAAATTTTACACATGGTTGTTCTGAAATTTTAAAAAAGCAATTATTTTATTGTATTTTAGCACATCTAAAGTTATACATTTACTAAATAATTTTTTTTACATTAACTCTAACATTGCCTCAAAGTCAAATAAGTTTAAGACTATTTCTTGTTTTTTGTAGAAATCATATGATAACAAATGAAAAATGAGAAACCAGGATATAAAGATCAAGTTAAAAAAAAGCCACCAAAAGCAGCATTTTCTTTACTTTCGTAATACTCATAAACAGATACAGCTGCTGGCTGTAGGACGCCCACTTTAAATGTTTGATGGATCCTAAACGCAACCTCCTCTGGTCGTATGTGAGAAACCTGAGGAGAAATTAAACAATAAAAATAAACTAGTCAAGAATAAACTAACATTAAGGTGGGTGAAAAACAACATGGGGCTGATAACTCACCCTGTTCAAGTAGATGATAAGAGAGCCTCTCTCTGACAAAACTCTGTTCATTTCATATCTGTCGATGGTGCGGGCAGGTCCTGTAGACAACTACACAAACATTAACAGCACATGTGGTTTGCTTTTAGCTATGTCTCTTGGTTTTAATAATAACTCATTATGCAAATTGTGAATATCTAATAACATTCTTACCAAGTCCAGGTCGCCCGTGTTAACCGTGAAGCCAGTTAGCAAGCTGATGTCTAAGATCGACATGGTGGAGTCTCTTTCCTTATCCAAATACCTGTACACAGAATTTACAGAATAATTGAGTTTTCAAATAAAGTCCTGGCATTTGTTGAAGAAATGCACAACACATGTTGCCTTTTGTGCCAGAGTTTTGGATTCAAGTAATTTGATGCTTGAAAACGACAGCGTTGCTGCTGATTTGCTCACACCTCGTAAATGACCTCATTCATTCAACCTTTATTTATACAGGTTTGTCTCATTTACAAGACCTGTTTTAAACAAAGAACACAGATGAGGTTCACACAACAATAGACAATCATATAAATGCATATAAAATTAAAAGTAAATGCTAAAGTGATGTAAAATATTAAAAACAGGAACATATCTGCATTGACTTTTGCCATGAACTTAACAGTTGTTAGAAATCCCTTAGAGAGGTCAAAGTGGACGGCTTCAGATCTTTGTGTTCCAGGTTGCAAGAGCAGAGTGCGAAAAGGCCTTTTTGCCAAATTCGGTCCGCACTGAGGGGATGCTGCAGGTAATGATGTCTTGAGAGCGCACACTGTAGCTGCACTGACGACGTGACGTGTAGGAGGAAAGGTATGAAGGTAGCAGACCAATGAGTGATTTAAAGATGAAAATGTACCAGTGTAAGAGTCTACATGAAGTTAATGATGACCAGTTAACCAGTGAATACAAGGTGCAATGGTGGGTACGGTAGTTACAGCCAGTTATGAATCTTAGCACATCGTGATAGACACCATCCAACATCTGCAGGGTGCTTGCAGGAGCATTCATGTAAATAATGTCACCATAATCAATGGAGGGAAGGAAAGTAGCAGATACAAGGCATATCCTAGCATCCTTATGCACAAGCACATGCAATAGCATAAGATGTGAAAGCGCTAAGAGGATATCATGGAGATGACGATTTGCTGTTAGAACAACAATTCTTGCTCAATATACATAAAACTAAGTCGTAGACACTTCTTATCAGCAAATGTTGATTAGCTGTGGTGGCCATCTTAAAGTGTCACCATCTTGAGTTGTAGATGTATTTTGCTAACAGACAGACAGTGTTAACATTTAGGGGCTTTAAGAGAAAAATGTTCTGCTTTTGGGTATATCTTGAGCATGACACAGCTGCAATTAAACTAAATTTTATCTCATGTAAGATTGTTACACAACAGTCCATTTAGTATGGGATAACCCTAAATTAGCTGTGGTCATCTTAAGGGTAAAACCGAAAGGTAATCAGCTGTAAATGCACTTCAAGTGATTACTTTCTGAGTTTTATTATGAGCCATCCACTGGTTCGTTACATATTTTGCTACATACACAGACATAGTTGACACCAGAATTATTGTCAGTGTTTTAAGTAAAAATGTGGTGCTCAATGTGTTGCCACTGATAATTAGCTACCGCACCAGATTCTAGGCCAAAATTTGTAATATTGACTGACTTATATGCATGTTTGTGTTTTTAAATGTCAGTTGTCTCTGGCGACCACTTGGACTGTAATGGACCTTAGACGTTGATCCCTCATGTGAATATTCATTGATTAATATTGAAGGGTTTATTTAAATCTGTCCTGTGATTTATATTATTTTCTAACAATAAAGACAAATAAACAAACATGCACTGAAAAATAAATACTATTGTCAGAGTGCTGTACTTACAAAACCTCTATTTTAAGCTTGTATGTCCTTTCATCCTCGGCCATGTTCTCTGGAGGGACAGAGCATTTGATGAGCATAAGATCTTTTAGACAAAGTTAACTGGGAGAACAGAATAAAAACACAAATAATCAAAATTACCTGGGATTAGCGTCACTGACATATTAAACTTCTGGCAGTCACTTTTCTTTACTCCAGGAATGGCATAATACAGCGAGACCATCTGTCAGAAAAAGTGCGATTAATGCCCTCTGATAAAATTATATTGAGCCTCATTTAGAAAGTAACAAGTAATTACTAATTATTAATATATATTAGCAAACGCTTTTCAGAACAAATGGAGATGCACTCTGCTTCCATTGTATCTATTCATTTGATTTAAAGCTCTCTCAAGTGCAAAAGCATTTACTGTTTAATCATCATAATTGAAACATGCACGTTTCTTAGGAACAAATGTAATCCTGTCAACAGGTAAGGTAATTAAACAAACAAATAAATAAATTCAGTGTTTTTTTTTGGGAAATCCTTTAAACAGCAACTGTCATAGTTGAGCAATTTTTTTTTTTTAATAAAAATAAAACCTTAAAATAAAAGAGTTTCTTTTAAAACTCTTTAAAATTTAGTCCTTATTGTAAATTACTGACGGAACCCAAGTTGATTAAAAATAAATAAATAAATATAAAACTTGATTACCTCAGTTAAAAGGTCAAAATATGCTAATTTTATTGCGCTTTGTGTATGTTTCACATTTAGTCATATTTTTTTCCACAAACTTCTTTGATATGAGACGTTGGGAATGAGGTTAATCGTTTTCATTTCATAACAATATATTTGGAATTCCTAAAAAAAAAAAAAAAAAAGTTTAGGAGAAAAAGTTAAATTACTTTAACAGTTGCTTCTCCTGTTCCATTTGTGATCACCTTCACAGCTTGGTTTATGCCATTAACCTGTGTTGGGATTTAAATATAAGCACAAAAATGCATGAATAAGTACAAATGTACTTTATGTGCGGATGAACAACAGTTTTTTTTTGTTTAGATCTCACTTTAGATGTTCTTGTGACATAGTGATTTTCCATTTTAAAGTTGTACTTGTCAGGATTTGATCTGCCCGGCAACAAAATGTCCACATTCAGATCATAGTCCGGTTCTTTGGCGTAGGTCCAATACTCTGTCAATGCCTGGTACACCATTATAGTAGCCTGGACAAAAATAGGTTAGAAACAACAAGCAAAAGTAAGAAAATCCAATATTATCCACAATAAACGAGTAAAATTTCACAAAAAGCTACTGAAGAGCTTAATTTTAACAGAAAATGCAGTTACCTGAGTTGATCCATAGCCTCCACCAACAAACTGTTGCTGGTTAAACCATCTAACAACAGGTTTTGCATCTTCAAAGGCCTATAAAAACAAATGGTGTAAATAAAATAAAAATGTATATGTTATTTTCTTTAATTTCAAGAAAAAATATTACCTATAGGCTTTTGCAAATTATATATTTTTTTAATCTTGGATTCCTAGTTGGAGATGATGATTTCTTAATGTTTTACATTCAAACGCTTCATCTTTTGCTTACTGTTAGCTGGACTTAGCTGGATGATCTCTGTACCGTTATTTTAATGTCAATGTCTAGTATGGATGTTTTATGTGCCTACTGATTGTGAAACAAATTGTGCCTTGGGGATAATAAAGATTCTTGAACTTGAACTTATGAGCATATTTCTTCCTAATTAAAAAAAAAATCTGTATGCCTCTTTTATGATCGTCTATCGTTGTTGTCGTTATCAACTGTTGTCATCACTCTTTGTTAAAATCAGGTCTCTCTTGTAAATGAGTCCTCGAGGCTCAATGGGATTAACCCGTATAAATAAAAGTTGAATAATGCTCCAAATTGGGATTTTTACAACAGCTATTTGCTGCAGGTAAGACACTGACTGCCCATATCTACTTCACATAAAGTGATCAACATGACACGTATACTTGTATGTAGAAATGCTTTTGTATACTAATGAGGGATTTGTTTTACAGAGAAAAAATAATAGTTAAACATTGCCTCTGAAGTACTTTTGTCTTAAGGTGATGTAACTTGGATGATGTGTCTGCTTGTGAAATATAATTAAAGCTCACCTTTGCCTTGACCAGAGCCAGGAGAGCATAAGCTGTCGCCTCCAGTGTGAACATGGGTTTTTCAGGTATAGGCCAGTGGGATAAATCTGGAAATCAAGAATATTTAATAAAATAATTAAAACCTCATCAAACATGTTGAGCAAGTTTAATTTGGTTTTAAAGTCTTACAACTAATAACTAATGTTTTCTAAATGAAATTAAATAGATTGTTTTTTGAGAAGCTCTCTCATGTCGCAGAACTGAGCACAGCAAAACTGCTTTACTGATGAAGACTTTTATTGATATTGAATAATGTGACATTTATTATAAACTAAAATCCATCCATCCATCCATCCATCCATCCATCCATCCATCCATCCATCCATCCATCCATCCATCCATCCATCCATCCATCCA